CCATCCAAATTGTCATCAGCAAATTAGCTGTGTTATTTTGAACCTATAAAAGAAAAAAAAACAATTCTTAAAAATTTTAAATGTTAATTATAAATATTGAAAAAAAAATTTAACGGGTACCAATGAGTGATAGCAATAATATGTCTCTCATTCTTCATAAATATAGCATATTTGTACATATTAAATACAATATAACATGGAGGTAAAATATAGAGTAAAATTAATTTTTATTACTGGAGATTCCCTATGTAGAAGTCATAGTATAACATGGAGTAAAATAGGTTTTTATTATTGGAAATTTCCTATGTAGAAATCATAATAACCTTTTCATAGTTAATCATAAAATATAACGAGTGGTATATAGTTGTTAGTACCACCCAAATCCATTTTAATTTTACAAGGTTGGCAACACATTTGTTGTCGTATAACCATTATATTTAACCGTCGGGTAACCACTCTTATCATTTTTCTGACAACTACCATTTTCCGGTTTAAGGTTATTATTTAATTATAATAGATTATAACTAAAGGCTTTTTTTTTAGATTCTCGGAAAATGGAATGCAGATAATTAAAAAAAAATCACACTAATCATTGAAATTATTTTGGATATAATATAAACGTAAGATTAAACTTTTAATATATTTAAGATTTATATTATAAATCGTGTAAAATTCTAAAATTATTTAATATTAAATCAACTTACTTTGGACTATTGTAGACAGAGAATACCCAATAATAATTAATAAGTGTATAATGTATTTTATATTTATAAAATATTCATCAAATGTTACGATTAAAGTGGAAAATYAAGTGAATTATTTGAAATTTTTGCAAAGAATTTTCAAGTTCATCGGTAGAATATAAATTTCGAAACATAATATTTAGGGTAGAAAAATCATTGAACTTAATTTGAAATAGAATTCTTGGTTATAACATATTCATACTTATATGTCTACTATTAGGCCAAGCATAGAATTAAACATTTTAAATACGTAGTTTGACGGGGTCCCGCGTAATAGCCGTTTGAAAATCAAACGGCCTTTGCTCGATAACCCGCGCTGTCACTTCTTTGTTCAACCCATAGACATATAAAATAACTAGAAAGCCGACTGTGAATTACATTCCCCTTAAGAAGGTTGAAGTCGGGACGCCATATGCCAACAGGCCAATGTTTACATAATAACTCAATAGATAACATACCTATATTTATAAGTGATAATAAATAATAATTCAAATAATGAAAAAACGAATTTCTTTTCATATTCTATAGTCAAAATGTCAACTACAAATTAAATTACATAAAGTAGTAATAAGTACATAATATACTACAGTACAAWTATTTATATTAATTTTGTTATCATTAWTAAATATTCTTATCAACTATGCGATTTTGTAAACATTGCCTTGTTGGCATATTATGGAGGGCGGCGGCTGACTTCAATATTATCCCGTAGTCGGATATCTAGTTGTTTTATATGTCTATGGTTCAACCGCCAATCGACGACGGCCGACACCGACACCCGATAAGCGTGCCTGGAAATGTCGACCGCCCGTACGCGAACCGGCTCGTAGACAGTTAGTTCTATGACTGCGCTTGCAGTGATCACCACATCACACCCATCGTCCTCGCACGTGTCGTACCACCCCCCCGCACTAATTCTTTTTGTTGTTCTTTTCTTTTGTTTTTGAAATATACGACAAACCACCGCATCTCTGCGACATAAAAACGTTAGTGTTTATTTTTTTCTATTTTGTCAAACAACTCCACCACATTCATCCTCGTGGCAACCGTGCCAGGACCGCCACAAATTTGGCTCCCCGAAAAGGAATCACCGGTAAGTGAATACTTGGTATCATTTACTTACCACATACTACCCCCCATTAMATTCCTTGTTGTGCAACTTGCGGAAAATTCCCGATCCCATACGACGGAAACGTGGTTCGCCTGGAAAAACCCGGCGTTACGTAACATAACCATAAAGCACGTAACGACCGACCGGCTACGCCGCCCGACTTACGGACGCACCGATTTTCAGCGCGCGCGACACCATAAACACACACGGAGTAGGATAGGTAGGAACGCTAGAGCGCGACAAGGTCACACAACCACCGCCCAGCACCACCACCCGCAAGCACCCAGGACAAAAATACATAAAACCGGACTGCCGCCGCCGCATTCGTAATCGCGATAGTCGACCGGACAACGCACCACGCGCAGCCGCGACATATGTCACAAAAACCGGTGAGTGTAATCACCCGGCACGCACAACAACAACAGACCCACTGACCTACATTCGGACGGAAATAAACACATATAAACGACCCACTCGTAATCGGAGGAACGTGACACCCGTTCTACCGACAACAGCCACACATATTCTTTCCCGTACACAGCACCGGAAAACCGACCGGATGACATGTCGGGAAAGTATATTAACGAGTTAACCGTTGTGGAACTAGGCTATGAATGTAGGCAGCGCGGGCTACCGGAAGGGGGCGCGAAAGACGCCCTCGAAATCCGATTGACCTAGCACTTCGCGGGCATGGATCTGCAGGCAAACGCCATCCGGTTTCAGCCTATGGAGACCATTAGGCCGACCGGAAGTCGCTTGGACTCGAGTCAGGCACACCATGGGCAGACCACCTGTGACCACAGCGGACGACAGAACGGACACCCACCAGCCACAGAACACCACCAATCCAACACTCACACCAAACAACCAACAAGCTACGGACATGATTAGAAGAGCCCACGGCATACTGCAGGAGGCGCAGCAATCGGCAACGACCCCGCCGCGTGCAGACAGTTTGGAATCACGACTGGCCATGCTCTCGAGCTGCATGATCCGTTTTGGTGACGACCAGCGTCGCATAGCAGAGACAATGCGACGCTTGGAGATGGGTATGTCTCAACAAGCACCGGAACGACAACCGGATGTACCATCACCGTCCAACCTCCACAGCACAATGTTATCAGGACAACACCGGAACACTCCAGAGATATCAGCGACCAATAACACGCGCGCGCACACACACACGCACACACGCACACAAACACGTCAACCACCACGGACCACAGAACGAGTTACCCGGCGACACGCGAATCACGTGCCACGGAATATCAACACCCGACCACGCACCTGACCGGTCAGTGCGTTTTGAAAACACAGCGTGTCATCACAATGCTCCCACACTCACCCACACATATGAACCGCAACAGTCTATACTGATACCGTACAACGATGTACGTACAGCGAGATTTTCGAAGCCGGAGTTCCACGAAACCACACCCAAGGACCCGGTACGGTTYAGGGCGTAGCCAGTACATTGTGGAACACCATCAGGTTGCTGAACCTCACCTGGATGAGTTCCCCGCCGAATTTTTGGAAAAGTTCTACAACGCGGACATACAATCCCGGCTGCGGGCCGAGATAGTATCGGTTAGACAAACTTCTACGCAGTCGTTAACCAGCAAGAGCACCAGCTTTGCGCGCTTCCACCTTGCTGGGAAGCCCTCATTGGAGAGACACGTGTTGTAAAAGGTAGTAAACAGCTCTGGAAATTTTTCGTATGCCAGCCTAATTACCTCATTTGGGATAAAGTCAGGACCCGGCGCCTTCCGCGACGGTAACCTATCTACGGTGCTGCTTACTTCATGGTCAGTAATTTGCCGCATCATGGGTTCGTCTTCGAGCGTCGAGGGTAAGTCTACCAAAACTGATGGCTGCTGAGACACGTTGGGAATGCGTGTCCAATCTGTGTGCGGTGACGCTGGGAATAGCCCGCGGGCCAGGTTAACAACCAAGTCTTGACTCAGATCTGGGGCACGTCTGCCAAGTCTTTTTGACACCAATTTATATGGAACTCCCCAAGGGTCATTTTCCACTGATATACACAGCTCCTGCCAGCTCTTCTCCTGTGACTTTCTTATAGCAAGCTTTACGTCCCGTCTCGCCTTGTTGTATGACTCACGCTCCAATTCTCGTGAAGACGTTGACGATCGACGACCGGCCCGCTGGTAATTCCTGCGGGTGGCAATGGTGATCCTGCGCAGTTCCGCTATTTCGCTATTCCACCCAATATGCCGAAAATTTGCTTGTAAATACAGCTCTACGTGGCATCGCTGCGTCACAAGATTTTGTTAGGAATTCGTTGAGACGGTCGGCGTGGCTATCGGCTGACTCGCTTGCCGGAAGCTTCAGGGGAGCACCTGTCAAATCCCAATACTAGTTTACCACCGCAGGATTGAGCTTTCTGACTGACCAGCCTGGAGCCAGGACACGAGTTGGACCGTCAGCAGGAAAGCGTGGTTGTGCGATCACTACGTCAAACGAAATGTATGCGTGGTCGCTTGCTGAGTACACATGTTATAACACTGTCCAATTTGTGATCAAGGGATAATTGTAGGGCAGACGCCTTGCCATARTAACGTCGATGACCAAGGCTGCGTTTACCCGTGCATACGTCGGGACAGAGCCTCTATTACAAATCATCATGCCAAGGGACGATGCCAAATCGGAGAGTAACGAGCCCCGTGCGTCATCCGTTGTTGATCCCCAACAGGCTGAGTGGGCATTAAAGTCACTAGCCACGATGATATTTGCCTGGCTCATGGATTGTAGGCGAATGGACGCCTCGAGGCCAGACAGGAAGAAGTCGAACTCAGCAATGCTGCAGTTCGGACTACAGTAACAACTATACATAATACTGTTGTTAATCTCCACCCAAACAAAGCCAAAACCGGCACCATAGTCCATGATGAGCGGGCGTGGGTTACCCGTTACATAAATTGCTGACTTGCCGTCGTCACTATTAATCCACCGTTCAGTGTTTCCCATTGGCTTGTGATAATCACTGATGATTGCAATATTGGAACTCCGTTCTGCCATCGCCTGCAGGAGCAGCTGTTGGGCTGCCCAACAGTGATTGAGATTTATTTGAATTACTTTAGTCCCATCCGAGATGACTGAACGAGGGGGGTTACCTGACCTTATGCTCATCATGACGATGTTACTTTAGCCACTTCGACCACCCTGGCAAAGGCACTCACTGCTTGATCAGAAGCGCTACAGTTGGCCGCCTTGTGGCCAGCTTCCCCACAGCGTCTGCAGCACGCCGTCCTATCCGGGCCTTCACACTTATTCGATGTATGTCCAAAAGCAAGGCAGCGGAAGCATCTGACCTTTGTGTCAGCCATTCTGACCCTGCAGCTGACCATACCGGTTCTTAGCCGTCCTGCATTGATTAGTTTCCGCGACGTCTCTCGAGGAAGAGATACCAGGGCCAGCTGTGAGCCGCCGAACCTTTTCCTAAGGCTAACCACTTTGATGATTTCCTGCGCGATGATTGCCGCCCTCGCCACCGCGTGGGTTACTTTGTCGGAGCTAGTCCACTGATCCAAGTCCAATATTTCCACCAGTGCCCTCCGCTGGAGGGATTTCACCTGAAAGTCAGGCCCCGCAAACCTAGCAACTTCAGCACGAACCGCTTCTATGTGTTCTTGATCTCCATGAACTTCAGTTAAGTAGGCCGCCTGATTTGGACTGCCGCATGCCCACAAAACTGTCGCCTGTGATCGCCTTGTTTACACCCTCGCGTATCTTCTTGGCGAGCTCCGGGAACTCATCCGCACCAACGTTTACCAGAATGGCTGACGGCCGAGCAGTGGCTCGCGATCGCATGTCTGCAGGTGTTATTGGCTTATCAGTTTCTTCCGCTGACGCGGGTGGTTTCATATTCTTCCCCTTCTTTACCACCTCAGTCCAGGAAGGTTAGGTTAGGTGCCGACAGTCGCGCAAACATTCCCCGTCGTTGAATCTTGTCCCGGGGTCAGTATTCCTATGCCTCCTATGTCCCACCAACATGGGGATTGTGTCTCAGCATCACATGACTTTGTGACTTTTACCACCTGTTTGTTTTTCTCCTCTTTAATGGTACCTACTTTTTCGCGTGACTCTTGGAGAGCACTTACCACCAATAGCAACTCCTTTATTGTCTTCTTGGCATCGTCACTATGCAGTTTAGGTATTATGGCTTCGAGGGCTTTTACTTTGGTTCCTAGCAAGGAGATCCCGCCATCCTGAGCCTTGACTACCGCCCCCAAGCCTTTATCGTCGAGTAAATTTTTCGTGGCTGCTGATGTTATTTTGTGTTGTCACAACATCCGACCCCGTCGGGCTCACACTTGTGTCGCCCATTTCAACGGAGTGGGCACCCAATCCGAAGGTATCGGTGCCCTGTTCCGCTCTTTGTTGTTGTTGAGACACACTGCCCCTATCCTTTCTCACCGCGTCGAGCCTCACTGTCCCTATCAGTTCCGGTAACTCCCCCCCTGGGGGGGCTGGAGTGGTCGGGCTTAGGGGATCTTGCGTAGAAGCGCCGTGTTAGGTCGGAAGGTTTTGGGAGGGCAAATTTTCACTCCCGAAGCTCTCAGAGCAAACTCAGCCGAGATATCAGCAAAAAATTGAAAAAATCTGGAGGAAGCTGGGGGCTTGTGTTTCCGATGAAGGGGAATGCAAGCCGTGCCCTACAACAATGTCTATGGCGTTTGCCCCGTCGCTCACGAGTTATTTGCGCATGCGCCGCGGTTTGTATAATTGCCTCCACGGTGGAGGTAAGTTTGATTTTCCCGCCGTGGGACGGTTGCGCCGTCGGTTATGCCACGTCGATTGTTCACACTGTGCCAATTGCTCCCCGACACTTGTTCACTTGAAAGCCGCTGTTCACCAACGCCAAACAGCTGTTCGTTTGGAAATACCGTTTTCACCCGGGYGGCTTTGGGCGGCCGTGTTAACAGATAGGGGAAAACTAAAAATTCGTATTACTCACCCGCGGTTCGTCGGAATTTGTCGGTCAAGGTGTCCAAGGAAAGGTCTACCCGAGCCACGTCCTTCTAGCCACTGCGCGTGAAMTTATCTCAGGTACTTTGGTCACTAAAATCCCGGCGGCGCTGGGACTTGTGTTGTAGGTTATCTCGGCCAACGGGGGTCCGAGAGGGATGCGCGATGCTCCGAACTCTTCGGGAGGATACGGTGAGCTTTATTCGGGCCGGCTCAACACCGACACCGGCCCGATCGTGAACTTTTTAGGTAAACAAACAGTTTTGCGTAACAGGCGGAAAAGTACAGTAAGGAAGGGAAATCACGATAACTCTGCAATAACTCAACCGATATCCGCGCGGTTTAGATACGTTGATACAGGAAGACGTAACGCATCGACTCGCACTCGCAGCGTAAAAAACGGCTTGGTGTTTTCGTTGAACAACGACAATTGCCCGGGAGCGACGCAGAAACACGACCACACGCCACAACAGCCACCGCTGAACTAACCTAACCTAACCTAACCTTACGGCTGGAAAGCCGCTACCGCCAAATCTGTGCAAGTACTGTGGAGGGCCTCACTGTAACAGTGACTGCTCCGGGTACACACCGGCTTCGGGAAACGGATACTGAGTCGGCGGACATTTGTCCGCTCCGCAGTCTCACATGCACATATACACACAACCACGCCACCAACGTTCGGCATTACGGAAGGGGATATAACTGTCAAACAGGCATCGACAAGCTCGGCGTCATCAGATATATCACCCACCCACACACACAAAATTTCATTAAGTAGTAGGTCGTGTCGTATACGCCACGCAAAGGCTTGATGTATATAACAGGTATATTATTACGGTTTCCGATTCCCAAACCGTCAAACGAGTAAATTATTGATACCTGCTGTATGAGCTAATGTAAGTTCTCCATTTGGTGACCACGATAACGAGTACTGCACAAAAAGATAATTAGACTAGGCCCAACAGGATTTATACTATACAACTCTAAGGTTACTTTACTCTCGAACAATTGACCACGATAACGAGTACTAGATGTTTTCGAGAGTGAGATCTCTTTAACCTAGACCAAAGTCTTACTCTTTCTCGACTGACCACGATGACGAGTACTGGACGAGAAAATGAAGTATTACAGTGTCTTGCTACCTGATCCTGATCGACAAGTGTCTTTCACCACAAAAGTCTACGCACGATAGTAAAATATTCTAAAATAGAATTAAAGAATAATAATAAACACTTGGTTAAAAATCAAACTGTTATAATAAAATATATCAAAAACAATAAAAATAAACACGTAATAATATTCGTAACTGCGAACGAAACCTTACTCGAAAAAATGCCCCGCTCCCGTCCCAGAGGTCGCCTTATGTAGTGTGTTTGGTGGTGTAATTCTGCTGACTTGACTCGATGGAATTCTGCATCGACCGATTTAATTTTATAATTTTTTCTATGTATATATACAACAGTCGTCACCACCACACACACACACACAGACCACTACTATGAAATTCACACGTGCACTGTTGGAACATACAGGTAGCACAGAGGCAACCGAAACGGACGCTCTGATAATGGCGGAGCAAACCTCTCACCAGAGCACCGGTAASGCGGTTCAGAACCAGTTGCCCCTCTACAGTAAACAAACAACGCTGAGTAACGAAAAACGAACATGCCCCGACAAAATTYTGACCCCTGCGATCGAGCTCGAATTTAGGTCAGGCTTCGTAACAGCGCTACTCGACTCACAAGCACAAAAATCATATGTAAGCCCGAACATTGCACACTCATTTGGCACACCACRCCACGGACAACCCACCCACGTACGAATAGCGGACGGACACAACACAAGGTTAGGTTAGGCACAAACAAGTGGTACCGCCACATTCAAAGCCAGGATAGGAGACYTGACGGTCACTTTYACCGTAGCCATTCTGGAAAACTTATACTGCGACATGCTCTTAAAGAACCAAACTCCGATAGCGCTCAAACCATATCCCTAACCGCAGGCMAAACAGACCATAATCGATACCATGGTACAGGATATGGAACAACAGGGACTTGTGGAGCAAAGCACATCACCATGGGCCGCACCCGTTGTCTTAGCAAAAAAGAAAGAAGGCTCGCCCCGACTGTGCATCGACTACAGACGACTCAATGACGTCACTGARTCCGACGCTTACCCAATGCCGGATCTTAATACGTTGATAGGTCAAATGCGAGGTGCAAAWATGTTCAGCATTTTGGACCTTAAGTCGGGATACTGCAAGTACTACTTAAACAAAACGCTCGAAAATACACGGCAGTAGTATAGATGTACCATTCCTGGCACAGTCCTTAAATCCATCAGTAAAAGATCACAAAGAAAACAATGTGCAAAAAGATCAGACAATTGAAATGCAATAATTATTAAAATATTTTTCGCAAAACTTATGATATTAATAATTGAAAATTTAAATGCAA